TCACTAAGTCGGCCCACTGAATTCATGGCTTCGTATTCTATGCCGGGCATCGACGAAAAGTAAAATATGAGATCTAAAACGTTTTTCGGGTTCGCTTGGGCTAAAAGAATAAAGTTGGAGTAGTTTGGAATCGATTGGTTATATTTCTAGCTAGATATAAATAAAAATTATCGACTGCCGGCCATTTAGTAATTTGAAGACCCTGACCGGCTGCCGGTCATATAGACACAGCGATATTTTTATTATTGGTATTTTTCGTCGCTTGGGAAAATAAACCTTCAGAAGACACTAATTCCATAGTTTTCTTTCGTGCTTGTTTGTCTTTTCACTTTCTGTGCATGAGTGTTCAGGGGATTCAGTAAAATCGTTCTACTGCGGCGCGTGTATGCATAACAATAGATGACTTAAGTGGGTCAAAACCAGACATGAGACAAATGTCCTATGCACTTTAACGAAAACCTCAATAGGATGACCAAAGTGTCAAAGGATGGCAAAAGATACACCAATATTACTTACCCGAARTACAAAATGGGTGAGGAAGTTGTGCGTGACATAGCTGTGGAGCCAACATATGGTGAGCTACACATATACTATGATTACAAAATGATACAAATAGCAAATAACTTGATTTACTTTGTATCTGACATTGAATGGTTGTTAAATTATCAATTCTAGATTATGTGGAAAACRTGAAAAAAATACTGTTCAGTTCATCCAGAGACATGTTAGAGAAGATAATGAGTGAATATAAAGCCAAAGTCCCTGAACCTTTAAACAATAAATTCCCACAGAAAAGAAGTAAAGATGAAGCAATGGTTTACTATGAAGAAAGAAAACAAAAAGTTGTAAAATTGGTACCAACAGGTAATTTAGGGAATGAGCTCCATAAACAAAATGAAATAAAAGTGCAAGGATTAAAAAAAATACTCCAAATCCCATATCAGGGGGGGGGGGGGTGGGGAAAACTGGGGTTATATGAATTTGAAAGAGCCGAGTATTCTATGTGTGTGATATATTATTTTTATGTCATAGCTAAGCATCAGGAAGAACTTCTTCAGGAGTGTTCATCCACAAAGAAAAGGAAATCTGATGATTCAAGTATAGAGCCGCCAAAGGAAAAAGTCAGGAAATGCAAGAAATGTAGTAACCCAATGAAAGGACACCCAAAGAACAAATGTCCTACTTAATAACAGATTTAGAKAAAAGGTGAAAAAATGYATTGAACAATCAGTAAGAAATATTTTGCAAGCACAGTGTTAATTAGCTGTTATTTGCAGCTCGTTCTTGCCCAGATTGGTACCCTTTAGTTGCATTGSTTGGATATTTGCACCTGATGTCATGATATATACAAGCTGGAAGAGGTCTAGTATTCTCCCATCCCATATATCCACACAACCATCTTATCAACCATCTATAAGCCACTGCCTTAATAAACCTATAAGGTAAAAAGGAATTAATAACTGGATAAAGAAAAAGATGTGGGAACTAGGTGAAAATGCTTTGAAAAATATCAAATGACGATATGTATATCAAATAATGTATGTGTAATAACGACAGAACTTGACTAAAGTATTATGAATTAATGTCTTACTCGTTTTCAGTGTGTCCCTGTTTACGGTATCGTCTGCCTTCTTTATCTGTGAACAGAGGCCCAACTTGAAGTAGTACTGTTTTGTTGGTCATCGCTTGGTAATCCGGGTGTGTTAAAATACATTGARCATTTAACCCTTCGAAAGTGAAGCGTCCCAAGCAACWAGCCATTTCTTTACAGCACCGAAATTCTGCCCTCAGGACCAGATGATTGTCGTGGCAATTTCCACAAGAACACCTTTGAAAGCAAGAGATAAATTGTCAATTACAAAGACATGACACTTACGAATAAACAATTATACACTATAAAC